TTGTAGTTAAAGTGATTAACTACCCGCCTGGCACTTAGTTAAGGAGTTTCACCCCCTCCCTGACTTCAGGGGAAAATCTCTACCTGGGGAAACAACCTTTCTCGGAGAGGTGACCTTGGTTAAAACACAGTGCCAAGAAGGTGAGCAAACATATTAAGAACAGTATGCCATATATGCCAGGTCCCTTGAAACAGCAAGGATGGACCGGCTCCCAGCATCTCCACCCCCTAAATTAAAAGGCACACTTCCACTCAATGAATTCTGGTTTGGGAGCACATTCCCGTGCACAGGTGGCTTATGGCCATGGGACCTCAACACATGGACTAATGGACCTTATTTAGTTTAGATGTTAAAATACTCCTGACTGTAACAGAAAGGAAGCTCTGGACACTGGCCTGCTCCTGGAATCCCTCGACTTCATTCGATTTTGGGAAACAACGAACTCAGACTCAAACCTCACATTTTGGTTTCATTATGATTTATTCTTCCCTCAAATTCACTTACCTGGGAAATAAAAGAGGAGAAGAAGATGGGTCTTTGTTCTTTGGTAAAGGGTAATAATTCTAACTCAGTCTGAACTTTAATAAATAAGATCATCTTAAAAGTGGTCAACACGGGGATATTTAGCTTTGTCCTCCATCCCTGCAATACCTTGAACTCTTTTTCCAATTTTTCTCTTAATTTCTGTGTTTCTATTTCCTGTTGTCCCATGTTTGGAAGCATATTTGATATATAAAAATAGAACTTAAAAACAGTGTATCCGTCCAATTGCTTGTATTGACATGGGATTCATGTTGCCCTTAGGCACTGAAGGAGCAGTATTCGGGCACTCAGTTGAGACACCTCACATCAGAGCAGAACCTTCCCAAGACCTCAGGTAAGTCCTGGCTCTTACACCTCTATTATTGTTTTCACCACTGTTGATCATCCTCAATATATAAAGAACTAAAACAGAAAATATGCTACATACCTGTATGAAGAATTGACATTTGCTGCTACATGGTAAATAGTCAAGTAATGAACGAAGGACAAGAAAATATGTCTTTTATTCTAAAAAATAACCATCTGTATATTGTTTCCAAATAAACATACAATGAATGTATATTAAGAGTTTGAAAAAATAAAGGAAAAGGCAATTTTAGCGTAGTTAGGAGGAGGACTGAGAATCATAGACTTGCTGGAAAATCTGTCATAGACAATGAAATATATGGTGCATAGGCTTAAAGAATAGGGAAGCAGAGATTAAGAGAACGCTATTAAAGGTCAGGGAGTGTTATGTAAAGGAAATAACAGAAACAAATATGGATAGTAATCAGGGAAAGGCAGAACTTAATTGCCCTACCATGGACTCATCAATCTAATATTTCCAGTGGAATAAGCTGCTTCCTGTTTTTAAGAGTCACAGTTAGATGTAAAAGCTCTCACTACTGAGAAGATTGTGAAATGACAGTATTATCGAAAATTCTCCTGGGGGAATCATGGCAACTGTTGATTAAAGCTAAAATAGTAAAAACCAGTAACGGATCCATGGATGTTCTCAATTCACAAAATGAGTTAAGCTTTAGGAATAAAATACATTTTAGTCAATTTATTGTGGTGATCATTTTAGACTATATACACATAATGTATCATATTACATACCTTATACTAATACAATACTATATGTTGTTTAAAAAAATACTTTACATAATTAATCTTGGTTGAGCAAATTATATTCTAAAGTGCATTTGCTAGGGTATTTTTATAAAATATCAACATGAAATATTGCCATTTGGGACAATATAGCTGGACCTTGAGCGAAATAAGTAAGTCAGGAAAAGCTAAGAACCATATGCTTCTCCAGTGACACACCTGGAACCAGAGAAGAGGGAGTCCAATTCCAAAGTGCTTGGCCTAGCCTGCACTCTCTCACAATCCAGGACCCCTTGGCAGATATTGGAGAGCAGATTTCAGCCTGATCCCACAGGCCACTCTGAGGGACCCACTGGTGCACCAGGCATCTAGAGTGGGATATAAAACTGAAACTCATAGACACAGATAGCACTATGGTGGTTTTTAGAGGGAAGGTGGAGGGTTTAGTAAAGGGTAAAGGGGGTCAAATACATGGTGAGGGAAGATGATTTGACTTGGGTAGTGGGCATACAATGTAATATACAGATCATGTATCATAGAAATGTAGACTTGGAATCTATATGAACCTATTAACCACTGTCAACCCAATTAATTAATTTGAAAAGGACAATATTGATATTTTAAAAATAAATCAAATATTACAATCATATTTAAAGTTGAATCAAAGTATCTACCTGAGAGACTTTGTCTTGAAAACGCTATAAAAATAGTAAGAAAAAATGTTATTTCATAAATATCAGCTTTAGCCCTTCCCATTTTGATGAGTGGGGAAAACTGCTCAAGTGAAAATAGAAAAATAAAGTAGAAAAATGTTAATGCCAAAATAGACATGCTTCCAAAAGTGTAAAATTTTCAGACCTTTATAGTTCTATGATAAAATATTCTGAAGAACTCGGTTTCTCACTAGTAGAGTAACCCAGATTGAAAGAAGCTACTTAACAATAACAGAAGGTGCCCTCTTGCTGTGATGAAGGTATCTATAATAATGAAAGCATAATATGCAAATCAACCAAACGGCCAAACAGTGGAATGACCGTTTGAACAACCTTCTGGACGAAGCCGGGGCTGCAAGGGCCAAAGCAGCCACTGGGGCTGCAAGAGCCTACCCTGGCACAAATTTCGTGCATCAGGCCTCTAGTTTGTTTATAAGATAGCCATGATAACTATTTATACTAGGCCAAACCCCCAAAGACTTAGAAGGATTGAAGACTATGTGTAGTGTCTCATAGTGTGTTATAGTCTTGATTTATGACGCTTTTCTCAGGAATTTAACATTTTTGTGTAATTATTAATGTTATCCCTCTCCACCTAACAAGGTTGCAGGCTCCATTAGAACAGATCTGCATCTTCTTTGCTTATTACCTTTAGTTCTGTAGCACCCAGCACTGTATCTCACACATGATAGTGTCTGATAAGTATTTGTTCACTTGAATTACTGAAATTTAGCAAAACTGAATACCGAAAACTACTAAATGCATGTATATAAGAAATGTGGCAGCTTTTGTTATGCTATTGCTAAGGCACATTTAACAAACACTAATTTCAGTTGCTTTTGAACTGTTTTAATATAAATATCAGAGTTTAATGATTCATTCAATAAAAAATTTTAAAGTACTAAGTTCTAAAAGAAACATTTTTTGCTTCTAATATTTTAGTAATTATGTACCCATTTTTATGCTTTGTTGTTAGGAAAAGTATATTGCCCAAAGAGGAATAAGAACCAGCTGCTATTTTAATTACCTTGCTGGTGTGTCTCAAAATTCGTAAGGGGAAATGTGGATGAAATTATATTAGTATATAGTGTACCTAGTTTTTAATTTTCTAATTATTCATCAGTGATTTAAAGATTGACTTAAGCTAGGCGTATCTGCTGCTGCTAAGAGCAGATTGGCAGCCCCCAAGATGAGTGTTACTGATCTAAATTCCACAACTAAAACATAAGCAAAGCACCGTAGTGATGGGGTTATTCAATTATTTATGTGTGTACTGAAGATTAAAATTAGAGTGTCTGAGATCTTTACAAGTTTTGCTGACAATTTTCCTTTCAGGGCAATAGAAGCACTCCTAGTTGACACCTAATCTTAAGCAACAATGTGGGATGGTTGGGCAGGTAATTAAAATGGTAATTTGGGGAGTAAGTAGACACATTGCTTTTGCTTTGGCAAAAATAAAAGGCTTTAGAAAGGAATATCCCAAAACATTTATTATAGAGTATAGGTAATATTGTGGTGTAGAAATATAGTAGATTTATATAATTTATTTATTCAACAGATGTTTGATGAATGCTTAATATATGCCGAGTTATGTGCTAAGTTTCCATGTTCATTTTAAACCTACACATGTTAGTTTTCTTTGAGTTTTTTTTTTAATTTCAGGTTAAATTGTTTTACAATTGAGTCTGTGTTTTAAAAACCTAAAACAAAACAAAACATGCTGAATGGTGAATAAGGAGATAATGCCATATTTGCCTGGGATAACTCATGTATGAATGTTCTTCCTTTTATATTTTTAAGTTAATTTATAAGTAAAATATTACAGTTCAGTAGGGTTTCTGCACTCTATGGTGAGAAGCGATGTAATCCATTATATAATGTGCACTGCCCAAAGATTGTTTGAATCCAAGTTCCATTAACTGCTCCAAAAATAAGACAAGAATCTTGACTTGGAATCAGTAAATGAGTTTAATATTTAATGATGTAATTGGCATCTTTTTATCGTTTCTATTCTTGCATGAATATAATTTAAAATTACTCTCTGGAAACATGTTGTTCCAATTTACATCATTTTTAAGTTCAAGGAAAAGCCACCATTTATTAAGTAGATGAGTATTTTTCTCTGAGACATTTGTCAATAAAGGAGTAAAATACTTTGCTGGTATTGTTCTACTAATTAGAGAAGAAGAAGAAAGTAGTATTTTTCTCCTCTCCTCCCCATCCTTCCCCTCTCTTCTTCCCTCCTTCTTTCTTCCTTCTTTCCTTTTATTCTTTCATTCTATGTATGCATTTATACATTTATCTAGTGTTAGTAACAAATGAACATTATGAGAAGCTTCTTTTAGCTTGCAAACGTGGGGAAACAAAGACAATTGATCTAGAAATTTCTTTGAGATAATGTGAAAGAAGAAACCACAATGGTTTGTGCTAGTGAGCAGAAAACAAGAAAAAATGGAGTAAACAAAAAGAATGTTATTTGCATCTGAAGAAAGCTCAGTGTAGCCTGAAATGATAAGACAGTAAAATTTCTTATATATTCAAGTCACAGTTGGCGTTAATTTTTTTCTTAAAAAACTTTTCTGTTCAATTCTCCATTCATGCCATCATTGAAACCTCAGATAATTCATGAGTGCCTACTATTTCTTTGGCACTTGGTTAAATATTTAGCAAAAACAAGATATATGATGTTTAAGTTCTACTTAAGTTTCTACTTAGTAATTGCATCCTGGGATTTACTTTAAAAGAATTCTGAATCCTTGCCTCTGAATGTTGAGGCTTCTTCTAAGACTGAGGCCTTTCATTTTCAATCTGAGAACTGCACAACCTTCAGTGCAAAATCTCATTGCACCTTTGCTATGTAAAAACCATGAAAACCAGAATCACTTGGTAAAACAAGCAGACTAGCGTTCAACAGTAACGCTTCTCTGCTATGTAATCTTTGGGTACCAAAAATAGTCAGAAATTCATTGCTGTGAATTTAATACTTTTAAAATGAACGCTTTTATATTTTATAGTTTGTTCCTTTGAATGCAAAAAATGGAAAATTAGGTTATGAATTTTCTTCTAAGTTTCTGTTGAATTTTATAGTCTGTGATTTCTTTATTACTTTTTATATTTTGAGTAGATGAAACAGGAAGTTATTCCTGCAGAGTGCATTAAGGATCCAATGTTATTGTCTTCAGTATTGTTAGTCAGTTTATTAACATTTATTAAATAAGCTAGTATTTTCCATCACAAAATGACTGCACATTTGTCAGATATTTCTCATACTTCCTATTTTAGATTGTGTTCTAATGATCCAATTTCTATTTCTAATTCCAATATCATTTTAATAAAAATAATTTTAGATTAAGTTCTAATTTTTAAAAAAATCTTCCACTTTATTTTATTTTTACAATCTGGTAATTGTCTAACATACTTTTCTCCCCCAATTATTTTGACATAATGTTTTAACTTTCAAGAGATTCTATTGAGATTATTGCTGGATTTTTATTGCATGTTTTCATTACTTTGTGAAATATTGGAAGTTTCA